TAGCTCTGTAAAATGAATATACCGGTCTAAATAATATCGGCACTTAATTGAATGCATTATTGCATAACATCAATTTATATATTGCGTAGATTCTCGAAGATTTACTCAATATTCACGTCTGAAATGTTTATACATTTCAAAACAACACTGTCTCGCTCCTTCCTAGCATCGTCACGCCATCTACGGCTTGATAGCGCATGCGCATTTGCGCTGCTAAAGAAAAAATCGGGTGTTCCGGGGGAAAAATCCTTTACACAACATGAGAAGCGCATGTTATAAAATTTACAATAACGACAACAATTCCTCGAATTTCTTGTAAACTTGGCAAAACTTGGCAAAAGACCTAAAGAATATTTAAATAAGACAACTAAAATTGCCTAAATAACCTTCAAAGCACAGACTAAGTACGATAAATCACTACGAACACATACCGTATACACCCCCCGGAAAGTTTACTGTATGACTGACTGAATGAATGAATGACTGACTGAATGACTGACTGTTTCGTTTGAATTTCCCCCCAGTCATCACAATACTGTGAAGTTTCGAAGAAACTTCACACTAAAAACCGTAGTACCCGGAGGAAACCTACGTACGACTTTCGGTAAAGCGATGGCTGACTCTTTTCACATAAGTGTCACGAGTCCGCATGAGAATTGCATCCACGATCTCAGAGGGGGAATTAAAGCGCTTGCTCTGACGATCGCGTTTATTTTAGTTAAACACAGGGGCGCCGGAGCCACGGGGGCAGCGGGGGCAACTGGCCCCGTTGCCCAAACAGTGCGGGGGCAGCACGGGGGCAACAGTTGCCCTTTTTACCAGAACTGCACCTCGAAATTTGTGCGTTCTTCGCAGGAATTGGAATTTATAACTATTTCTAAGCAATGCTTAGGCAATCTTTGCTTAATTTTTAACCATTTATTGTAAAATTAATGCTAAATCAGACAATATATCCGTTTACTGATTTTATTTGGCTCCCTTAACATGGTGCAACGAATAAAATTGTTCAAAATTAACTGTCGAAGTTTGCCGCCCATCATAGCCACAAGTAATCGAGTATCCATACAGTCGAGTTTTAACAAATATTGCCGCCCAGAAAAATGATGGCTGAGGAGCAAGTGCCCTTTTGAAATGGCTGCCCCCGCCGCTTGACATTGCGTCCGGCGCCCCTGGTTAAACCCAATCAAAGAGCAGAGTATAAATAGATACAAATCGTACCTGTTTTTCCATCGGGACAATTTTTAACCACTGAATAGCCAACTGGTGTCTTTTCCCAGGTATAATCACTGTCATCATTTTCGAAGCAAAACTCATTAAAATCTAAAAAAAACAAAAAACAAAAGAAGTAAAACACGATCAATGAGTGATATTTGTCACTTACGGAAAATTCACATATCATTTCAAATGTAAAATTTTATGTGGAATTGGACCATTTCAAATGAGTAGTATAGAAACTTTTCACATATGAAATTGGACTCGCGCATACTTACACATAGTTCTACAAATGAAATTAATGGTTTGAATGTAAAAATTATTTTCACATATGAAATGTTGTGTGAAATTGAACCATTTCAATTGAGTGGTATAGAAACTTTTCACGTATGAAAGGAGTCTCACATACTTACACATAGTTCTACATGTGGAATTAATGGTTTTAATGTGAAAACTATTTTCACATGTGAAAATTTATGTGGAATTGGACCATTTCACATGTGAAATAAGTAGTATACTGTAGAAAGACTTCATATATAAAATTGGAGTTTTGCATACTTACATATAGTTACACATGTGAAATGAATGGTTTATATGTGAAAATTATTTTCACACATGAAATATTTATTTCGCATGTGGAATTGGAACGCTTCTCATATTTTCACCATATGCGAAATTTGAAGGGTGGTTAACCGGAAGTTGTCAGAGTGACAATTCTTTTCATTACATATAGAATATGCGGTCTTGTACTTGGTGGGAAATAAATAGAATTGAAAGATGCAGTTTAATCTGCTTGCTTTTCAACATTTCTCAAGTTCAGCACCATCTGCTGTCTCGTAACGTTCACTGAAACTATACCAAAACCAGTAATTCATAAACGCCGATAAACGTATCATTCAGTCATGTTTTCGCTCGCTGTACTATAGTTTTTTAAGTAAATGGATGTAATTTCCGCTTCCTTCTCCCTGCACAGATAACCCAATCAGAAAAACATCAGTTATTTGAATAACTAAATTATATAAGTTCTCAACGATTAAGAGATGCCTGAGGAGGAGGCTATCGACACTCCAGTCTAGTGGTTTCATCAGGAGTGATCTGAAGTCGAAAGTGCCTTCTTATTTACTGCCAACAAGGTGGAGTCACATACAGTACCAACAATCTGCTACCTCGTTGGCAGATATGGCCGGATTTTGAAGGCAGGTGTGAAACTGCCCTGAGATCGTTTTGTATCTCTAAAAATTCATAGGCCACCCCTTGCGAAAGGTTAAATAGATAGATAAAAATTCGACAGATTACGGTCTACACTTTGTAAGAAAGTTTTTCTCTAAAATCGAAATAGTGATAGCAATTCATCTCCGTGTCAAGTAGGGAGGTAGATTCAAGAGAGTCAAGTAGTTTACTCTAGGAAGGGGGAAGGGTACATTCTAATCCCTAACATTCCATTGCGCCTGTGAGCTAGACTGCTGCATCTGCCCTAATTTGTTTCCATCTAACCCACCCTTTCCACAAGATCCGGCCTTGTTAAGATGAAATTATCCCTTGAGTATATAAGAAGTCACGTTGCGCCTTCTGATCACCCCTGATGAAGACACTAGACTGCATGCGGTGAATTTCTTTACTTAAAAGGCAGAGAAATAAGCGAAAACATGACTGATATTAAATCTAAAAACATAACGACACTAGAGGGCTCTCGGAGATTGTATACCTCTGCTATGTGTCATGCGGCACAATTATATAGTACATGTTCCAAGTTACTCTGACCGGCAAAGCTAATTTCTCATCCCATTTTAATCCAAATTTAACCAAACGTTTATCAATTTGGGAAATGTGGGTATTAATATGTTTGAATTTTTTTAAGTTATCATGCTAAAAGACAAACACACACAGATTTTTACCTTTTGATACTATGTACACTGTAACGTCCTTGCTTTGTCCGGTACCATCTGAATTCGTAGCCAAACACCAATAAACTGTTGTGTCGGTTGAGTCAGACAGTGGGAAATTGGATAACTCTAGTTTTCTAGCTTGACCAACAATACCAGACTGTTTGGAGTTGTACCACATATATTCGATCTTTTCCTCATTGCCAACAGAAACCACACACGTCAAGGTTATTGTAGTACCTGAATGGAAAAATGAGAAAAAAGGTATCAAATTGGGTAATCCAATTTTTGGAAATTAAGGTAATTCCGCAGTTTTGCATTGCGCACTTTTACTGCGCACATCTTATAATTTCGTCCGTTATACGTACCGTTTAAAACAAAATATCATTTTATGATAATTTTATGTTACTTCAAAACATCTTTGGTTACATTCGTGCAAAGAATTACGTTAAAATCAATGTTTTCAAAAAAGGCATACAAAAGTGTAGCTATGGTTCCCTGTGTCTGTAGTACATTTATTTACTTGTATTTCACGTTTTAATTCCACAATTCCCAAAAAAGATCTGTGACTCCCGTTTTTTAACTGATAATTTATTTCTTTAATGCATTTTACATTTCATATCCGAAATTAAAAGAAAAATCATTTCTGGATCTTGAAAAAATGCTTTATCAATGCATGTTCTCAAAGAAAGATATGTAAAGAAATGTGCAAAAGACATTTGTGGATCAGAATTTTACACGTTAGTAGTTCCATTTTGCTCAAAACACAATATTTTTTCAAAAATAATTACAAGATAGGTTTACTAAAGCAAAACCGCGCTAAAAACGTCAATAAATGTCGGGCTGTTGTGAGTCTGCTGTTACTCGTAATGAGCGTCAAGATGGCGCCATATTGGGGTAAAAATGGTATATTGTGATTGTCATATCTTCTTAACGAGTTCGGTGACCCCGACTTTTTTGTGTGAATTTACTTTAAGTATATCATAAACTCCATGCCTGGGAAGTTTCAGCACATTCTCATTTCGGGAACAATTACTGCGGAATTACCGGCTCAACCTCAAAAATTATTTTTCCGGACAACATATTTGTCAATCCTATTTTGTTCGTTCCATTTCCCCCCAATGTTTTCGTAAATTTCTCCAAATTTTACCTATCATTCTTAATCAGTTTTAATCGGTGTTACTCAAATATTTTATTTTTTTTCTTCTTATCCAAATCTATGTTTTGCCGACTGGAACACAATATTTTTTCAAAAATAATTACAAGATAGGTTTACTAAAGCAAAATCCGCGCTAAAAACGTCAATAAATGTCGGGCTGTTGTGAGTCTGCTGTTACTCGTAATGAGCGTCAAGATGGCGCCATATTGGGGTAAAGGTGGTATATTGTGATTGTCATATCTTCTTAACGAGTTCGGTGACCCCGACTTCTTTGTGTGATTTTACTTGAAGTATATCATAAACTCCATGCATGCCTGGGAAGTTTCAGTACATTCTCATTTCGGGAACAATTACTGCGGAATTACCTTAAGGCCTCGTTTACAGGATTCGTTTGCCACGACATCGAATTTAACGGTTTCAGGAATAACTAGGCATAACGGTTTCAGTGGTAACTAGGCATATGAGTGTCTCAAAAGTGCAATGGACATAAATAGCGTGTGTTAGCTTAAACATTTGTAAGAAAGCTGCAAAACGTTTGTATGGTTTGCGCTTCCTTAAGAGAAGTGCATTACCTGCTGACGTTTACTGTTGACAGCATGAGCTCCACCTTTGAATTTACTATATGAGTAAATTCTTAAATTCTTAAACACATCCGAATTTATCATTATGATAAATTCGCGGCACATTTTGAATTTATCATAATAATAATTTCGCGGCACCTAACACTAACACTAACACTAACACTAACACTAACACTAACACTAACACTAACACTAACCCTAACCCCAACCCTAAATTTTTAAACTTTTTTGAAAATCTAACTTTTTAAACTTTTCAGTTGTTACTGCTATTTTGAAAATTAATGATTAAATATTAAAGGGGAAGTCAAGTCCGCAATGTAAACAAACGGTTTGTTTACATTTTGAACTGCTGTATTTTTTAAAATATGATGTACTGTCGGAATATCTAGCAGCATTTTGATTCGCTATGCTTCTAAATGAATATGAAATAAAGTTTATGTTCAGAAAAATTCGAAACATTCGAAATTTGGGCAATTTTCACATTAGACGTCCTCACATTGTTATGCGCAGAACCGATGCGCAGAACGGACTTGACTTCCCCTTTAAAATATTAAAAAGAAACCATAAAAAAACTTCGATCTTCCGAATAGAGCCGATCACGAAAATTGATCACTGAGGCCGATTGTTTGAAGACTTTCAATGAGCTTTCAAAATGTTTCGTAAATCGAAGCAAATAACTTTAGAGATAACATTGGAATGATAATTTTAACGTGAAAATTATCAATTTAACGTCGGAATGTAAAAGTTAACGTTAACCTTCTTACGGCAGATTATCGTGAAATAATCGACCGATAATTTTTAAATGGCTGATTAATTGGCTTTGCCAATTATTTTCCCACTAATTGGCTCATCTCTACTTTCTAATTTGTTCGACCTTCGCTTCTACAGTCAGTAGCAGGTCTCATCAAAGAGAGGTAGGTGCCTGATCTCACTTGTGCGAGGCCATCTTTGCCAATGCATGCTAAAGAGTGCGTGCATTACCTTCAATTGCAGAAACAGACAACGGGGAAACTGCAACAACAGGAATAACTTTAACTTCTACGAGTACACTACTGTTGATTGTGTCTATCCCTTTACTAAAATAAATAGAAATATCATAAATACTATACGAGGCTTTACTAGATGACGGTCAAAAAACCTTACAACACGAGTTTGGGGGTTTAGTAACACAATGTCCACAATGGTTGGTGCATGCACGAGTCTTCCAGCTCTGTCAACAAAGTTGGATTTCCACCTCAGCTGCAAACACAGCAGGTTTACTCTCTTGTATTACTGGCACATTGGGCCAAGAAATCATACTTTATTTTACTGTGCAGTAGTACCCAATTTGTGCAGCGATAAAGTGAAGGTGCGCAGTGATATACAGTGAAAAATATGCATTGGTAACATTTGTTGAAATAAATTAATAGTGCCCACTGAAACCTTACAAGATCAAAGATTGTAAACTTGACATAAATGTACCTGGGGTACACAGAGGCGGCGCTAGACCTCTTTGAATGGGGGTGTAAGTGAATTTTGCCGAGTCACTACAGCCACTAATTAATATTTCTTTTCATGAAATTAAGCATGGCTCAACTTCAAAAATTATTTTTCCGGACAACATATTTGTCAATCTTATTTTGTTCGTTCCATTTCCCCCCAATGTTTTCGTAAATTTCTCCAAATTTTACCTATCATTCTTAATCAGTTTTAATCGGTGTTACTCAAATATTTTATACCTGATGACTGGGTGTGTTCCATCCCCCCCCCCCTTTAGCGCCGGCCCTGTACACTAGTTTATTCTTAGTTGTGCTTCAGTCAATGCAGAAGGCGTCGTCTGTAAACGTTTTCAGGATGATACCAGTGAATGATGACACGAACGGCAGAACTCAATGTCATGTTTTCGCTCGCTACTCTGTTTTTTTATAAATGATGCAAAGCGTTCGTGAAGTCGTTTGGCCGTGAATAGAATTCGACTGGGCCTTCCATTCATATATAAAAAACAGGGTTGCGAGTGAAAACATGGCTGATAGGCTGGTCGCCGTGAACTCACATGAACTAAGTAAGTTATCTTGGGGGACACCGGATGAAACAGAAGAACCGGAAAAATTCCGTCAATGACACCACGTAGTTCATAAAAGAAAATCAAAGCGCTTACCTGGCTATACAGTGATAATCCCCAGAATCCGACTTCGCAGTGTTACGGACAAAAAGTTTTGAAACTTGATCGTTGTTTTCAATCTTCACTCTTGTCGATAAGGACAAAATCATGCTACCATTCCTCCACTCAAAGCTCGGAAGAGATGGTCCGCTAACAGTGCATGTTATCTCTAACATATCACCCGCATTTCCTCCGTACTGTATTCCCATTTGAATATCAGAAAACACTAGACGTAAACAGAAAATGAGCCGATATGTTACACAATTGTTTGGCGAAACTCCATATCGAGTATCAACAAAGTTTAAACTTTATTTCGGAACCATCATCAAGGAAACATGATACAATATATTCACGAGAAAAAACTAACACTGCGCAACATAAAGTTGACTCAAGGTTTATGAATATGCGAGTTCAAATCCTGCTTGAGCCAACGTTATGTTGACAATGCAGTGTTGGGTCTCATGAATATATTATATCATCATGATTTTTCTGTGTTGGTGTAATGTACTCAGGTGAATATGATACTTGTGATGTTACTCTGAGTGCATATCCACACCGGGCAAGCTTGAAAAATATGCCTGACCACGGTGGAATTCGAACCTACAACCTTTGGAATGCCAGCGCAATGCTCTGACAACTGAGCTACGCGGTCTGGTCGGTTCGAGTATGTGATATTTCGGAACAGAATCTAGTTTGTTCGATATCAATGTTATCTAATAATAATCATGATTTTTCTGTGTTGCTGTAATGTACTCAGGTGAATATGATATGAATATGATTCACCTGAGTACATTACACCAACACAGAAAAATCATGATTATTATTAGATAACATTGATATGAAGGAACTAGATTCTGTTCCGAAATATCACATACTCGAACCGACCAGACCGCGTAGCTCAGTTGGCAGAGCATTGGGCTAGCATTCCAAAGGTCCTAGGTTCGAATCGCACCGTCGTCAGGCATATTTTTCAAGCTTGCCCGGTGTGGATATGCACTCAGAGTAACATCACAAGTATCATATTATATCATGATAGCTCTGATGATGACTTAATTCAACTAAATTTTCATGTTTTCAGGATGATGCACGACTCTCTGAAACAGACTTAATTCAACTAAGCTTCACAGCGCACAGTTCGAATTTGGAGTTACCACCTCGCTCCATGGATCCCTAACTTCTGCAGCCATATGTCTTACGTTGCCCAGTATTATGTTTGCGGTGTTACTCTGAGTCAGGGGCGTAGGAAGCACCTGGAGTTTGGGGGGGCACCGGCTTGTAGGGGCACATTACTATCGGAAAGGGCACCTAAAAAATTTTTCCCGGAAATGTTGTCGACGGGGGGGGGGGAGAAATTTCTCCTGAGGAAAATTTTCCGTCGTATCATACCGAAATTTATGTTTGTGACCTAATTTTTAAAAAAAATTTGTAAATTTCCACACAAAAACGGCACCTATTGTTTTAATTTAGTATTTACAGCGACATTAGCTTCTACAAAAGGGGCACTTTTCCTCACAAAAAAGGGCACTTTTCAACACAAAAAGGGCACTTTTTATCACAAAAAAGGGCACTTTTAGTCCTTTAAAAAAATTTGGGGGGGCACGTGCCCCCCGTGCCCCCCGCATCCTACGCCCCTGCTCTGAGTGTACATCCACACCGGACAAGCTGACAAGTTTGCTTGACCACGGTGGGAATCGAACCCACGACCTTTGGGATACTAGTCCAATGCTCCACCAACTGAGCTACGAGGTCAAGTCGGTTCAAGTTGGTGATATTTCGGAACTGAGACTATAGTTCCTTTGATATTAATGTATTCTAAGGTAAGATACTAGCTTTTTTGTGTGTGTTGGTATTGTGTACTCAGGTGAATATGATGTTTGTGGTGTTACTCTGAGTGTGCATTACCTGGTATATCCATAGTAGTTAATGAACCAGGCACAAGCGAAAAGTTACCAAGAACGCCAGTTGCACTAATGTCGTCCAAAACTCTAGTAATTTCGTCTTCAGAACCCGGAACAAAGACCATTTCTGCCTCGAAAATCACACTTCCACGGCTTTTCAGAATCGATACAATGGTTAGAACTAGCGACATACGTAACTATTTAAAAATCATCAAGGTTGTCCTTCCAAAACCTTAAACCTTAAACTCTGCGCGCGCAAGGGATGATGGGTTTTCATCTATTAGGCCCTTAAACTCAGAAAATTGCCTTTGCAGCAAGTGTGTTTTCTGTCGTGAGTCTTGTATATGTCTTAGGTATTCTTGCAAAGCTAAATTTCAAAGTTTATGAGCCTAAATAAGCAATAACCCATCGTCCCTTGCGCGCCCAGAGTTTAACGTTTAAGTTTTTGGAAGGACAATCTTAATTGAATTACTTGTATATGCAACTACTCATCGTTGAACTCACCTAAATCTCAAGATATTGGCACCACGATATTGTGGAATATTGGAAAATTTCTTATCGAACTAAGAAAATACAGTTATATGGAATAAGATGCGGTGAAACAGCATATTTATGAGATTTACAGCATGTTTAGGAGATGAAGCTAACAAAGTAATTTTGAGAGGTACGCCAAAACGATTTTAAGTGTTGAACGCTTTTCATTTTTCATTGCAACATTGGCGTAGTGATTGTTGCACCAGTATCCCATTCCTTAAGAACGGTCTTGCGGTCTAAAGGACTTCATTCTGGAATGCAAAACTCATTTGGCAGAAAAAAATCAGCATCAGTTTCCTCTCTTAGTAATGGAAAATCATTTAGAACTTACAGAGCTATCCAGTACAAAAGAATTTGAGTTTCCCCATATGGTAACACTAGACCAACAAGGGATTGGCACTTTTTGAACCACCAGGAAGATCAATTTGGAACTGACAGGGCAACCTCATTCCCAGGCTCTTCTGGGAACGAGATTGCTGACAGAGCTATCTAGTATAAGTAAAGTTTTGTTCGGTTTAGCTTACAAATTAGTTCCATCACAATTGTGAACTTACATTGCTTCTAACTTGTCCAGAAAGCGTCTGATAATCACCAGAATTCGGATCGTTTAGTGAATTCGTAAATTCCCTGTTTATTTTAAGTGTGATGGAAATAAATGCGTCTGGCAGTCCTAAATAAGGAGAAGATATAAAAGTCATCAGCGGATTTTTCAGATTTTGCTCTGGGGGAGTGCTGAATTAAAATTTATGTGGGGGGGGGGGAGTTGACGAATGGGTCAAACAAATTGCAGCAACAAGCTGCAGCGGGGGCTGGAGGCACAGTTGCTAATGGGGGGAAATTTTGAGATTCTTGGTCTTATTTAGTTCAACATCCTTTTTTATAGTCTTCCTCAGTTCAAAATCGTTATTTCAATCACATTACTGTCATTTAATTAATCTAATGAGCATTTAAATTTCTGGGAGGTAGGGTTACAAATTTCTCTAGGTGGGTGAGAAAACTTTCTGGTGGTGCAAAGTGTTTTTTGAAGATGTGCAACCCCCTCCCCAGAAAATCCATCTATGGTAAAAAACATTGATGGCAGTCGTAGATCCAGCTAGTTAGGGAGATGCTGGGCAAGCTAACGGGTACACCGAACTCAGCACTGATCAGTTGCAAAGACATTTTAAAACTATATAACTACTGCAGGTTATCTCAATTTCGGCCACCCGGTTTACTTACTTGTACACTGCGGTGAGCCAGTATATCCGATATCACAATTACACGTGTAACTGCCTGGATTGTTAAGGCATTGACTGTTCTCAGAACAAATATCTGGGTTCGTACATTCGTTTATATCTAAAAAATAATATCCGGACTTCCAGCATCGTTTTCAATCACACTAATGAGTTATTTAATGTTAATTACATTGGGTGTGATTGCCCAATATAGAGACAAAGTGGAGGGCCTAACGAAAAGCCTCAAAGCACAGAAGACAATCAATTAAACTTTATTTCAAATTAATTTTTAAATACAGGGAAGTCACGCAACCTAAATAAATTCGCTACCCACGACCTACAGTGCCTAACTTAGTGGTAAGAGACAGCACGCTGCTAGCTTTTTAATCCAGGTCTATATCCAGATCAGTGGATTACCTTCGCATGAAGTGATTCCTGTGTATCCTTGGGTACAGTTGCAGGTATATAATCCCCCATTGTTCAGGCATGTCCCACCAGATCCACAAGGGGTAACAGTTGAACATTCATTTATGTCTAAGGAACATATCAAGAAATAACAGAGGTTCATAATAGGAATGTTCGGTATACCGATATACCGAAAATATCGGTATTGAAACCAATATCGGTTTATCGGTATGAGTCAGTTTTTCAGTCATACCGATATACCGAAATTTCCGATATATCGGAATTTTTCGGTATACCGTATCAAATTTACACACCATGCACATGGCGAAATCATCAATTTTTGTTTTACTCAAATGCAAAGTAAAAGTAGACATTTACATCTGAAATTCCTTCGAAACAGCTTCGAAATTGGCAATTGCTAGATAGTATACTTCAAAATAAGGTTTCCGTTTTTATATCAATTTTTAAAATAAGTTAGGGTTAGGTTAGGGTTTAGGTTAGGGTTAGGTTAGGTTAGGGTTAGGATTAGTATTAGGGTTAGGTTAAGGTTAGGGTGAGGGATAGTATTAGGGTTAGGGTTTAGTTTTGAGTTAGGATAGTTTTTTCTACGTTATAAAAACGGAAACCTTATTTTGAAGTATACTATCTAGCGATCACCCTTCGAAATTATCATAAACGGTGTTTCCACTTTTTAAATTATTCAAAATCAAAATTTCTTTCAAATTTCCACTACGGGGTTTTCCTATCTAATTTAAAAGGCGAAAAACCGGTATACCGATAATATCGGCATAATTTTTCCGGTATACCGATACCGGAAAATTGTCATACCGAACATTCCTAGTTCATAAATTATTTGACTAAGACTACCTCTACTATACCTCTCACTGGTTTAATAGCATTTGTTGGTTAGTCAGGTAGATTAAACGCATCTGATTGGTTAATGGCAGTGGTAGTCAAAATCTGAACCTAATATTGTTAAGCCCTGATTCCACGAGCGCTTTTTATCAGCGAAATGCGAAATATTTCGCCTGTTTCTTTTGAATTGTGAGCAATCAAGTAGAAATAATTTATTCGAGTGGTCGCAATTTCAAAAGAAACAGGCGATATATTTTGCATTTCGCCGAGAAAAAGGGCTCGTGGAATCAGGCCTTTAGAGAGGAAGCTGATCAAACGACCATCCGACCGACTGACTTACTGGCTGGCTGACGGACACACTTGTGTTTAATGCTGGGCAACAGCCAACTGAACTATGCGACTCAGTTGGTCAGAGCGCTGCACCAGAATTGCAGATGCAACGTTCCAAATCGCCTCGTTTATTTCACATTCACCACCTACAGAAATCTTCTGCTTATCACTGAGAAAGGCAATCATCCAGTGTCATCGGTCCTGGCATTCTCCATAAACAAAAGCTTAAAACTTCGTATCAAACCTTGCCTCAATTGATGACAAAGTATTACGAAAGTACCAATGGTGTGTTAGTGTTTGGCACGGATGGTGAAGAGAACCTTGCCGACGCTTTTTCACAAGTCTTCCCGAATGCAAACCACCTCTGCAAATCGCCTAAAGTCGTCTTTAATCGCTTTATCTCACAGATAGTTAAGACAAATTTACCCTATACGAGCACAGCCTGGCATGTTACCATGTCAGGGTGGACTATTTAAACTTACCAACACAATTGAAACCATTTCCGAAATAACCCACGTTACATACACATGTAAAGCTTCCGGGGGTATTTTGACACACAGCATTAGCATGACATGGATTAGTTAGGCATTCATTAATATCTGAAAAATAGATACCACAGAATGATGTTAGCATTTATTTACTTAAACCATGCAGAGTAGCGAGAAAAAAGCATATTAAACGTGGTTGCAATGAACGAATAGAAATTAAGATTTGAACGATTCATTTTCTCACTGGAAAACGTGCACATTTTATTGTAACAGAATTGCAGAAGATTGTTAAATCCATCATATGTAGTAAAAAATCAATTCAAACTTATCACAAGTGAAGAATTAAACATACTACTTAGGCAGCCAACAGAAATGGTAATTTCTACTCAACTGTCTAAGAAACTAGCATTTTAAAAAAAATCGACATTTATGATCGAACATTTTGAGCGTAGCACTTACCTACACAGGCAAAACCGTCCCCAGTGTAGCCAGATTTACACTGACAAGTGAAAGATCCAACCGTGTCTGTACAGTCAGCGTTTGTGTGGCAAGAAGAGGATACTACGCATTCGTTGATGTCTAAAATATTTATAGAAATATATCTTATTCATAATAAGTATCATAATAGAAATATATCATTATAAGCAGATTATTATAAGAAATCCTGCTTAGCAGGCTTGCTGTCGCATATCGGAAGTCATTGGTTGTAAAACATTATTTGCTTTGGACTGAACTTCAATAGCCCGGCGGTTTCATCCCAGAACTGCTTTTGATCGATGACTATTGCCCGTGAGTCGTTAAGTAAAATCTTAATGGAATACGTACTTTGGCAGTTAAAGCCATTCCCCGAGAATCCTGTTGTACATGCACAAACGAAAGAACCTTTGGTGTTGGTGCAGATACCATTGGGAGAACAAGGGTTTGTCAAACATTCATTAATATCTAAAAACAAAACAATCATAAATCAGATTTACAATGTGTATAGTTGTGCAATTAATGTCCACATGCATTTGGCATTTATAACCTATCCTGATATTCTTTCTTCCCGATATCCACCCCCCCTCCCCCGCCTCAAAGTAACACTCTGGTGAGTAATAATTAAACATTTGATGTTGGAGCAAAACACAGACGGAAGCTTTCTCATATCATACACTCGAAGTGTTTAAGATAGTAATCTTTAATTGAAAAAGTGAAGTTGGCTTGAAGTAATTTTTTCTCTCATTCTTCGTTGTTTCAAATCACTCTAATAAACTGCAATGCATTCAGTGGCGTAACGGAACATCCTGAGGCCCCTCATCAAATTTTTAAGTGGGGCCCTATTTTTCCCCGGAAAAAGTTGGCGAGCGGGGGGACCAAATTTCTAACCATATTCCTTAAAAAAATGGTTAAAAAAAAATTTCCGTACTACGAAAGAGAGTCCACAAAATTTTTTCGCATCCATCTCTACTAAAAATAGGGGTCCAAATTTCACAATTTTACCAATTCCTACTTTTGGGGGTGGCCCGTTGCAAGTTTTCTGGCCCTCTATAAGTTACTATAACTGAGGTTCGGATCCATTTGCCCAATGTACTAGCAAAAATTTTATGGTCATTTTTGTCGGGGGTCGGGGGCCCCCAGCTTGCTTGCCCCCCCCCCCCCCCCCCCCCCGCCACTGAGCACCCAAACACCTCTCGGTTACGCCACTGAATGCATTTTATAGAAAATCTCCATGCACAGTACTTCGCAAACAGCAAAAATGACATAGTTCGTTCATTTTTGTTCTCAAAATAAGCAGATTATTTGCGTGCCTTTCCACATTACAAGACAGCTATTGAGAGAGATACAATTTGCTGGAAAATATAGGCAGACTTCAACGTTTCGAGCGAACGTCCGTCGCCGGGAAGTTGATAAAAGTTATTAGAAGTTAATAGCAACTTTTCGAAGAAGGACCTTCGTACGAAATGTTGAAGATTTGCTAATATTGTTTTCAGGTAGTTGTATCTCAATCCGCCAGCTGTCTTGTCATCGTCGCTACCTAGACGGGCACAGGCCGTTCGAGATTATTTCCATATTACTATCTAGTAATGACGTCATAAGTTGTATGGTATTGACGTTAGGAGTATGGTTTGGATTGTAATTTGGGTTTGCATAAAAACGATGGTAACATGGAACCCGACACGGAAATCCAGACAAGAGTGAATCCAAAACAATGTTTACTACTTACCAATGCAACTTGATCTACCATCACCAGTATGGCCAGCATTACAAGCACATAAGAATGACCCCGGAGTATTTGTACACGTGGCGTTCGCGTGGCAGGAGTGGAGTAACACACATTCGTTAATATCTACAAACCGCAATAACGATAGAACTGAATAGGGAGCTTTAGATTTGACTACGAGTACGACTACGAGTACGAAATTCGTCAAGCTAAACGCATGCTGTATGCTTACGCCACATTCCGTACTGACGCGAAAAAGTCGTAGCCGTCGCCCATCTGTGTACGAAATTGTGGAGAAATCTCGTAGTCCTCACGACGACTTTTAAAAAAAAAACAAAGAAAGTTGGCTTTTTTTGTTTTCCAAAAATAATATGTAGCATTTATATAGCGTTTATCCGGCGCAAATAATATATTAGTACTAAATATCTGGCCTGTTTTTAATGTTATGACTTGTTTACACGTTTTGTAGGGGATTTTAGTCTGCAGAAGATTTATTTTTTTAAACATTTTTCTCTCGTTGTTGGTTTACTGTTATAAAAGCAACATTTGAATCGAAACGAAAACGACTACGGTAATTTCCTCGCACGCGATCAAATCTCGTACTCGTAGTCAAATCTAAAGCTCCCTAATAATGTAGTTGTCGAATCGCGTATTTTAAAAGTTTGGACAACGTGCTACAGCGAAATACTGTAAGGACATCTTTTTGGCAGGTTGTTCCTTGTAGTAATGACAGATTTCTGATATCTAGGAATGTTTAAACTGATTTCATAGATTGCAGCTTTAATAATAGACTTTCCAAAGGCCGCAGTTCGTAGTTCCTGGAAGCGACGGACTTTTGTCACCCGCAAGCGCGCCAAATTCACCGGTGCATTTTTGCTCCGGTGACGTCAGTGAATGCTCATTATTAGGCCATATAAAAAAAAATAGTTGGTTAGCGTCCTTGGCTTTTGCCAAAAAGTGGGCGGGCGGGCGCTTTTTTTTTTAATTTTTACTAATTTTTAACGCCTTGGTTTTACTCACTGTTAGGTCCGAAACTGGATTTTCTTGCGCAGTACAGATATTTTTTTATATATTTCAAAATATAATTCATACCGTCATTTTCGCACGCAATTTCGCAAATTATTAACACAATTGACTACAGTCAACAGAAATACTACATATATTAGAGCCCGTTGATCAATAAAAGTCGGGTTTTTTTAAAATAAAAAATAAAAAAAAGTCCTGAGCGGGGCCTTTTTTGTGGGCGGGCGGGGACGCTAACCAACTATTTTTTTTTATGTGGCCTTAGAGACCTTAAGATTGACGTTTACGGCAAACGTCAAACCGCTAGCGAAGTTTTTGATTTTACAGCTCTATTATTGTAGCTTTTACACCAGTTTTGAAATATGTTAAACTGATTGAACTTTTGCTCTTTAGCAATGATTTAAGAAAGAAAATTAACCACTAGTCATGCCATTCACCAAAGCAGTAAATTAAGATTTGGCGTTTGAAGTTGACGTTTGACGTATAAATTTCATGCTTTAACGACTACAAGCCCTCGTAGCAGTTCAAGCATGAAATCTATACGCCAAACGCCAACTTGAAACGCCAAATCTTAATTTACTGCTTTGGTGAATGGCATTGACTAGTGGTTAATTTGCTTTCTTAAATCATTGCTAAAGAGCACAAGTTTAATAAATTTAACATATTTCAAAACTGGTGTAAAAGCTATTATAATAGAGTTGTAAAATCAAAAACTTCGCTAGCGGTTTGACGTTTGCCGTAAACGTCAATCTTAAGGTCTCTATTATTCTGTACTAACGACGCCATTTTGTAAAATTTATATTTATATAATTATTATAAATATAATTATTTATATTTTGTGAATATATGGAAAGTCGCATGAACAAAACAATAATGAACTACTGAAATCGACATGGTGAACGCTCACTATGTCATAATTGATTTTCGCGCCAAATTTTTCAGTAAGATTCAAAATCAGGCAAGTGACACAAGTCGCTCGCTTCCGTCTTTCTGAAGCGCTCCCTTCTTGCTACGCGCGGTCCCTAACGAGCGACTTGGGCAAGTCTACTTTAATAATTGCTTGCACTATCCAGCCTATTTACGGATCAGTGGATACATTACCTAAGCAGGTCTTGCCATCACCAGTGTAACCCGTGTTACATGTACATTGATATGAGCCAGGGGTATCGGTACATGTAGCAAATTGACTGCAACTATGGGTTCCAAGCTGACATTCGTCAATGTCTGAAAAACACAACACAATAAATCAGACTTTGGTTTTAAGAGCGTATACACGTTAAAGTAGCATAAACAGGATGCTATTATGCTATTATTCATATACTACAATCCTGGACGAAACATCTGCGACAAAATTTCGTAATATTATCGCAAATTTAGAAAACCTCCCCCTTGCCCCCACCATTCAATGTTGATTGCATTCGCAGAATACGGTCAAAACGTCCAACATTGATTTTGGGGCGGAGGGGCACAAACGAGTAAATTATTCCGGTCTAATGGTAAAAAAAGCCACAAAGGAACGTTTTAACAGAGTGTTGCAGATGGTTTTGTCCAGGATTGTAGGTTAAAATTAAACAAGACTGATAATTAATCAGTACATAACATATAACTATATATATAATGCCATTAAGTCACGATTTAGTCATCAGAGGGTTTGATTGTTTGCGTATTTTCATCAGTTGAAAATTGATCTATTTTAGATGGAAAGTGCCGATTAAGTAAATCAGTAGATTAAATGAACAACTGTGACATTTATAGACCATTATCTTGCATTCATCTCGTACACAGAGCGTGTCCGTTCGCAGGTTGCATGCTCTGACTACGAGATTGAATTGCAGTTAACTTTGCGCCCATGCATCACATGAGCCCATGCATGCATCACATCTGCACGAAACTTGAAACGAACAAGTACTCATTAGAATGAATAATGAACTACAGTTTCTTCCACAACAACCACATTTTTGCCACAAGTTGTGAGTGGCATAACCCACACGTTTGTACAAAGAGCCTACTTGCTGGTTATTTCAAGTTACTATAGTAAGCTATAGTATTAAGTATACATACTAAGACAAACGAAGCCATTTCCAGAGTATCCTTGATTACACGCGCATTGGAAGGTGCCAGCAGTGTTGGAACAAGTACCATCAGTATGGCATGGATTGGTTAGACATTCATTAATATCTGTTAGATAAAGAAAATAATGTTTATTATTATATAAAGTGTAGTGCTTTATAGAGATTTTGAGCACTGATAAAAGTGATAATCTCACATGTGAGATTATTCATGATAATCTCACATGTGAAAATTATCGCTTTTCAATTATCGCTTTTCTGTAAAAATTATCGCTTTTCAAAGACTGTCCTTTATATAATAAACAGAAAAATACATGGGTGCTTGGAAATACCAGATTTATTTCTCGTGTTGAACATGATATCTCACTCGTTCGCTGCGCTCACTCGTGAGATATCATGACACTCGAAATAAATCTGGTATTTCGGGGCACCCATGTATTATTCTCTATGTATATCATGAAAAATGGCTTGCATGGGGAGATATTAAAGTAAAATATCATTCCGTTTCGCTTTGTTGAGAGAACGTACGACAAACGTACTATATACAAATAAGCAGATTATAATCATTTACAGCAGGGATCATTTTAGATTTTCAGTTGTACCACAATATAGTACTGCAATGTTTATTGCCGCGTACTTGACCTGGTATAAACCTAAAATTTAAAATGTACTCACTATTTAAGATAAAGTATACAAGGAAAGTTCCTAAAGGCATTCATTAAGTAACATTTCAAACGAATTGTTTTTATAAGAACATATGTAAAGTGTAGAATATCTTAAATAATGATGGTAATTTTGATGGTGTGTGCTATAATAGACTTGACCTTACAATGAACTGATGAATTTGGGGAAGAGCTTGAAATGAGCCGCTCTACTTAGTAGGCGGAATAATGAATTCCAGTTCTTTTCACTATGGTCACAGCTACAGTATTTTTGTAGTGCGTGAATAAGTGCAGGGTGGTGTACATTGAAAATGGTTTATTAATTCTTACCAGGACAACTCAATCCGCTTCCTGAATATCCAGGTTTACACGAACAGACAAATGATCCAGGTATGTTGGTACATCCAGCATTTTGATCACATGGTGCTTGCAAACATTCATTGATATCTGCATGTATAACATAGAACACTTAATATTTAGCAACATGCGTAAATACTTAAAGGTGATCTACAGTCCGTATGTAAACAAAGCCTTTGTTTACATTTTTGTGTCCAAAATATTGAGCTTTATTCGACAACTATTTATATTTTCAAGCTTCTAGAGTATAATAAATGATCAAGAAATAACAATCAGGCTTTTCAAGAACTCAAAACATAGTTAAACTGTTTGTATCAAAAAGTGGGCTCATTTGTGCACATGCGCAGATCGGACTATAGATCACCTTTAAATCATGTCAAGTTTTCCACGATTACAAAGCTATACACATGTTCGTGAGCTTTATTTCCAGCTACCTGGAAAGTATAGAAACTACATACCTGGAAAGTATATTGACTATCTACAATTGAACCTAACACTCAACATAATACAGTTCTTTTCTTGATAATAAGAATACTACAGTACAGAAAAGGTTCCGTTCACATGAAATCTGGTCCGTGCTCAAAATTGCACGATTTCAATTTGTGCGTTCGCATGCGACGCATGAAAGCAGACGAGAGAAACCTTGTACAAAATCCGTTGAACTTACCAACGCAATTAAGACCATTTCCAGAATAGCCTGCCTGCAACCGCACTGATATGATGTTAAAATACTGTACCTGCACAGTTAAATCCACTACCAAAGAATCCTGTATTACAAGTGCACAGGAAGGAGCCAACCGTGTCTGCACATTGTGCGTTGGGGTCACAAGGATTGGTAAGACATTCGTTAATATCTAAGAAAATAATTCAAATTGTTTTCGTTCAAAACTTTCACCTTTGCTCATATTAGTTTCAAAATGTGAAAAAAGACAATCAAAAGCCTGTAGAGGGTCTGATCTTTGTGAATTAAACAGAACATTTTGAATAGAATAAATCAAAGTGTTGTCATGGCTTATGCCATGATTATATAAAATCCTATGTTGACCTGATTCTGAGATAGTCATTGTTTTTGTTAAATACAACATTAAAAGATATAGCGTCTTTGGTAGTCTAACTTTGCAGTCTTTCGAACCTAAAATACCTCTATTAGAGTTAAGATTATTTCCTGCATAAATAGCTTCGTTATTTGCAGCGGCAAAAACGTACTGCTGGAAATATTAGTTCGCAAACTTTTTAAAATCATATTTCAAAAACTCATTAATAATTCAGGGTAACACAAAGAAAAATCATAAGCGTGTCGTGGTTTTATATATGTGATAAAAAATCACGTTAATTTACATAAACTTTAGCTTTGATTTTCTCGGTTTAGACAAAGTTTATTTTAAAAATTACTTCGCCAATGAACTCGTATAAGATGAGGCGTTTTTGAAGCTATTTAAAGCACTTGTAGTCGTGTTTTATCACATATAAAACACTCCGCTACGCGTCGTGTTTTATATGTGATAAAACACTCCTACGCGCGTGCTTTAAATTATTTATAGTACTTAATGCTAATTTGTTCATTTGAAAGGATGTCTGCTTTAAATAAAGTTAAAACGGCATTGTTACAACTTAGCTATTTAGTTCGTGAATTATATCGTATAGAGATTTTAAGAAAATATTAGGAGAGATTTTAGGTTTCCTGGGGAAGGGTCGCATCCATGCATGCATGCATCTAGTATCCGCTATTGAGTATTGTAATTATATTTATATTAATTTGAATTAATCACACTATGTCTGGGACTGGTTGTGCAAATGTGGAGTAGCGCTAACCCTGGATTAAAACTTAACCTGCTGTTTTAGTTTGTGTATTTCTACACGTCTGTTTATTTCAAAACTTCAGAGAAGAAAACTCCTATCGATCCTGACAACATCTCTGAAGAAATATTTCCAAATTTATAGACAAGCTGTCAGGAAGTTTGCTTTGAATTTTAGGTTAACCAAGGGTTAAGCTAACCCGGTTTTGAACAACCGGCCCCAGGTGGATATATTAACCATGCATGCACCTGGTCAGACTTAAACGAATGGTTTAACCACTTCCTGATTCTTAAAATTAACAAGCTGAGGTTAGTAGTGTAGTTTTAGACTGCAGATACTGCTACATTTTTCAATATTTGGATTAGTTTTTCTCTTCTCGACAGATTGGATGGTTTTGTTCACATTTTCATTCATATAATCATATGAATATTAATCAGGGTGGAGGCTAAGGATTTCAAGACATTTTTCAATAAATTATAAAAATATACAATAAGCATAGAAAATGTGCCACTTCTTACTGGCACAAACACTTCCGTTTCCAGTGTAGCCAGTGTTACAGGTACAATTGAATGAACCAAAAGTATTTTGGCAAGTAGCTCGACCAACAGCGCACGGGCTCTGTGCACATTCATCAATGTCTAAAGAAAAGATATCTTCATTACAATGAATTAATACATATCAGTAAAGATCTGATCACTGCATAGCCAAATTATACCGTTAGTATCTGCTTAAACATAATACAACATCTGATTTTAATATAAAGATTCGACAAAGTAGTTGAATAGTACCGAGACAATTCTTCACAATTGTCGCAATTAACGATAACAATTTTAAAAAATGCAAATAAATTATTACAGACCTGAGCAAAAGAATCCATTTCCAGTGAAGCCAGATCTACAAGCACATATATATGATCCAAATGTATTGGTACAGGTAGCGTGAACGCTGCAAGGGTTAGCCAAACATTCGTTTATATCTACAATGACAAACAATGACGGGAATTCCTCAGTCTCATTATTGATATCGTACAATCTTGTAAACCATAAAAGTAGAACTGCACATTGCTCAATTTTACATTGTAAATTATTTTTAAAATGCAAACTCGACAATAACAGTTATATAATAAGCAATGGCAGTTGAAGCAGTTGATTTCAACTTGCTCCATTACATCTCAGCTCCAGTTTCTTTTTTCATAATCAGAACATTTTTTTGGGTAAAGTTTAATAAGTACAAGAGCGAAGATTCATCGAGTGTCAATTAACAACAAACTTTTGGTTTAGACAAAACAATAATGATAATTCACCGTCACAGAGAAGTTTGCCATCCCCGGAGAAACCATCATTACAAGTGCAGAAATATGATCCTTGTGTGTTGGTGCAGGTAGCTCGAACATGGCATGGGTTGGATGTGGTACATTCGTTTATATCTAAAAGTTTAAGCACGAAATAAGTACAGTTTATCACAATAGTCTTGTGCTAGATAGCGATGGCCATTCAGTCGCATACTGCATGGGAACAAAGCTTTTAACAAATGCTTTCAACGTACACAAGTTTCCACTAACATGAATAAAAAGATGGAACAAAGACCGAGTCCAGATCATATCTTCATTGACCATGTGAGTTTTCATCATCTCAATATAATCATGATAACCTCAAAAAATGATTGATGCATTTGCTTACCCGCACAGTCGAAACCATTTCCAGAATATCCTTGGTTACATGTACAAGTGTAAGAACCAATCGTATCCGTGCAAGTTGCTTGAGCGTGGCATGGATTATTCCTGCATTCATTTATATCTACATAAATTAAATCGCAGCAACAAATTTTAATACAATTTCGATTGAGTACTTTATAATGATGCCTGTCCCCCTTTCACCCACGTTTAATTATATAAGAAAGATGTATAAAAAACAAAAACGACTGGTCAACGGTCAATAAACATTTAATCATGAATATTTGATTAATACGACAGGCCAATAAACGAGCGAAAAGACAAAATTACACGCTGTAATGGTGGCATTCACATTTTGATTCTTTATGGAAGGGGAAAGTAGTTCAAGACTTGTATAAACAAATCATGTTTGACAGGCACTTATACTAGACTGTACCTATTCTTGGGTTGCACTTGACGTCATGCCGGCCATGTTGGAGGAACTTTGATACAATAATCCCATTGGATAGATAGATAGATAGATAGATGGTTTATTACATATAAACATTGCAGCCAATAGGCTGAATGGACGACTTGCGCTTTAGACTAAATTTTAATCTAAGTAAGAACAACGAAATCTATCACCACAGCTAGAAAAAGCGTCTTGGAATTAGTAGTATTACAAAGTTTGGTTGCGAAATGTTGTAAAATACGGAAAATATAGCCCTTCAAAGTTGGCAAATTTGTATACTTTTGTATTACGTACGTGAATTGGTAACTAAATTAGTTACCAATTTCCGCACGTAATAGAAATGTATACAAATTTGCCAACTTCGCAGGGCTATATTTTCCCTATTTTACAACATTTCGCAACCAAACTTTGCTGTTTTTCTAATTTTGATAACTTCTTTCCGAAAATATCCTTTGTTATTCCCAGATTAAAAATTTTTCTAAAGCGCAAGTCGTCCATTACGTTTATATTTACAAGTTAAGAAAATATTAAAATACAATACAACTTAATGTCTCTAAAAGGATCTAAGAATGTTGTAATAATTTTATTACGAATAATTTAATGCATTATATATAATAAAGCTATTTTTAAAACGGTTAGTCTGACATGCAACGTTAAATCTATGACTGGATCTAAGAGTCATATGAACAGTTTCATTACGTGGTGGAAGAAGATTATAAAGCTTATGGCTATCATCAGTCACTATTTCTTCAAATAGTTTGTCTGAAAGACCGTCTCTTCGATGGCTGAGTCGTTGGAGGCCAGTTGATTGTAAAGCGTCTTCATATGAGACCCAATTAAGGTAAGATAATTCGCAATGCTCTCTTTTGGATCCGCTCCAAATCCTGACTGAGGTAATTTGTCAAACCATTATGGAATACAGGACTTGCGTATTCTAGGATTGGCCTTATGCACGTTGTAAAAGTTCTTTCGTGCCAACTCTCGCTCTCTTAAGTTGGGAGAGGAAATAGAGACGCTTTCGCGCCTTCGATATAATTTGGTCAATGTGATTGTTCCATTTCAAATTGTTAGAAACCGTCAGACCAAGGATTTTAGCACTTTAGACCACTTCCAACATTTCTCCATTTGCTATAATAGGGTCAAACATTGCTCTTGGTTTGCAGAGTCCGATTCGTAACTCCTTGCATTTAGTTTCGTTAAGTTTGAATTGGCTCTCAGAGGTTTGTCTTGTTAGGTCATCTGTAAGGGTTTGAACTTTACTTTCTTCGTTTTTCCCAACAATTTCGTCTAAAGTTGTATCGTCCACAAATTTCCATATATTACTATCGTTAATCTTTAAGTCATTTATCATTATGATAAACAGCCACGGCCCCAACTTAGTGCCTTGTGGACCAAACCTTAGTGCCAGATAAACAGCCACGGCCCCAACTTAGTGACTTGTGGACCAGACCTTAGTGCCTTGTGGACCTTGTGGACATTAGGAGCTATTTTAATTAGCCTTAAAGCGTGTTTAATTTTATCCAACATGGCCGCCATGGTTTTGTCTCTCAAGGGATTGATTGCAACCTCCCACGGTCAATACCTGAGTATCTAAGGGGCGGACCATTAGAAAAGTGATGGGGGGGGGGGGCTTTTTCAACTTGTACGAATATTTTTTTTAAATGTTTTGCTTGTGTCGATAATTTTTTAAAATATAATCCCTTGCACGATTTTTTTTTTATTTCAACTTATAATTTTCCCTATTGAAAAGTGTCTGCACGAATTTTTTTTCAAACTTTTTGTTGCACGAAATTTTTTCTTTCTGTTTTCCCTGCTCGATTTTTATTTTTGCTTCCCCCCCCCATCACTTTTCTAATGGTCCGCCCCTAACGCAATTTGATTGGTTGCTTTTCTCCGGATGCACTATTCAGTATTCACCTTCGGTCGATCAAAATAAAATGCTTCCCGTTTTGTTCCTGTTACAGACGAGCAAATCTTTTTACTAAACGAAACTGTTGTTCCGCTAAGCACAAAGAAAGCCTTACAGTGCGTCTACTGTAAGTGGGGCCACTTAGAGAACACTAACCAATCACATTGCAGAACAGAAAGTGAAAAAATCAACAAACGGCGCATTAGCCAATCAGCATTAGGGCAAAAACAATTCGAACAAATAAACGAATGTCAAACGGTAAAAATAGACATGTAAAAGTAAACATTGCAGTTAATGGCTTCCTGAATCTTTCTTTTGATTGGACGAGCTTTAGTTTGATTAGATTTTTCTTTCTGTTCTGCAATGCGATTGGTTAGTGTTCTCTAAGTGGCCCCACTTACAGTAGACGCACTGTAAAGTTTTGTTTAACAGTGTGAGTAGAAGTAATCTTTAAAACTCTTTCTAATGAATATAAAATTACTAAAGCTTCTAAATACTAAGTTCTTTGTATGTTTGCATGGCGATAAAACATATAATAGTTTTGTTTGTCGAAACACCACGTAAATTTATTACTGCAAAGCTTCTAAATACTGTTTTGTTTTCAACAATACAAATTGTTTTCACACTATTTTCGTTGTTTTTTGCTAATTATTCTTTTGCTATTGTCACTTTTGTTTTGTTATGGTATATGCTAAAAGATATTCACGTCAGTGCCGATGAATCTATCGCTTCGCGTCCTGGTGAATATCCTTGAAACCTCAGTGTCGGTGAATAATTGGGGGGGGGGGTCATGGGGACTTGCGGTGTTACGGAGTTGGGCTATTTTTAGTGCGGTGATACGGTGACTAAGGTTCCAAAATTGCGGTGTTGCGGTGAGAGAGAAAGGGGCGGTGTGCGGTGATTGTGCGTTTTACCTTACGGTGATACGGTGAGATGATATTATTTCTGTATAGTTTTGGTAGTTTTGGTCAGTTTTGCGGTTAAATCCATTTTTTTTCAGTTTTTTTTTAAATCCACATATTTTTTTGGCCTAACCACGACCTAACTCAGAATCTATAATCTAATAACAGAAATTAAAAAAAAACGCTTATGCCGTTAGGGGCGGACCATTTGATTTTTGAGGGGGGGGGGGGGACGGGGTTGGAAGATATCGAAAAAAAGTTTCCTGCAATCCAAGGAGAAAGAAAAAAAGTCATGCAGCATAAAATCGATAAAAAAATATCATGCAAAAGAGAGCGCTCAAAAAAAATTCCTACATGTAAATCTACTGACGTTCTTCACTTCAGTATTGTGTCCACAGGCTTGCAAGATTTTGCATTTTTGAGCAGGCACATTTGCTAAAAAGAACACTGTGTGAACAGTGGACAACATCACAGGGATTCTGGCGCCTTTGGAGTCTATAACATACGATAGCCAGTGGCGTTTCCTGGCAAAATTGTTGCCCCCCCCCCTGAGAAAATCTGGGCTTAAGATATGTACAAGTTTATAAGTTATTTATACATATCTAATATGCATGGTAGAAAAAGTATTTTTGGATGGTTGAGTCTGTGTGCGTTTTTTGATAACATAGCTCCAAACTATTAAAGCTTCAAAGGCCCATCTACAGGATGCAAGTTGAACGTACTGTATATACGATGATTTTAATGCGAATTGTATGAACGATTGAAAAGCTACAGAGCTATATTTGGTGGAACATTGTTGTTTCGGAGGGCAGTTAAAAATCGCATTATTGAAATCTTGTTTTATTACATATTAATCAAAGCTCATTTTGTGATTTTCCCTTGTTTAAAATAAAGGACAGTGAGTGTTCCTTAGGCTTAGTACAGCAAAGCTGCATGAATCCATGGTTGAAAACGCAGGAAATAGCATTTCCGAGGTTCAAATTTTCCCC